CGCCCGCAGCCGCCGCACGGCATTGGCCGACACATCCAGGATACAGTGCTTTCCCTGGGGGCGGGGTGGGGGAGGGACCAGCAGGTAGCAGGGAAGGACAGACAGAGGTGCCAGGAAGAAACACAGAATATAGAAAAGGGGGGGCAGGAGGTTGGCCAAAGGGCAAGTGACAGATGTCAAAGGACATGTAAGCAACAGAACAGAAAGAGGTGTGGACAGAGTGACCAACACAGAGGAAAAAGAAATGGAAGATGCAGAAGCCAAGCACACAAGAGGGCAGAGAAGGGACGGAACAGAGTGTAGAAGACAGAGAGGACCCAAAAGATGAAGGAAGAGCAAGGGCAAGGGGGGCAAGTCAGGTGGTATGCACAAGGCAGACCAGGGCAGGTACGGAAAGGCAGTGAAAGAATTAGGATAGAGGGAGGAGGGAGAGGAGGACAGACAGAGGACAGACAGATGGAAGGAATGGGAGAGACAGATGGGAGGGAGGGGAGGCAGATGGAGGAAAGAACCACAGAGGGAGGGAAGGCAGGGTGGGGAGTAGTAGGGAAAAGGAGTTAAAGGAGGGGTGAGAGAAAGGGTAGTGGAGACCCCCCATTATAGGAGGGAGAAATGAGCAGAGGGGAGTCGGGAAGAAAGGAGGGAACAAGTTGGGGAAGGCCAAGCCACCAAAGGCAAAGCCCCAGGAAGACAGGAGAGATGGGGCAAGGAGTGGGAAGCAGAGGAGAGACGGGACAGATGGCAGTGCGGAGCGTGGGGTCAGGAAGCAAGGGGAGCAGGCCACAAAAGAGCAGGCGGTCAGAGTTGCCCGAGAGGAGAAGGAGGTGGAGGAGCGGAGTGCAGACCCAGCAGGGAAAGAGACAGAGAGAGAGAGAGTTAGAGAGAGCTGGAGGGAGGTGGTGGGGTAGGGAGGGGCAGGAGGAAGAGGATGCAGTGCCCACCAGCTCTCACCTGCTCTGCTACCTCTCGCACAGACTGGACACTGGTCCCGTAGAGGTGGCTGTTGTACTGGCCAGCCTCAATGAATTTGTGCGCCTGAATGTCCTTCTCCATTTTCTCCCGGGAGGAGACAAAGTGGTAATCCCGGCCATCTATCTCATATTCCCGCTTGGGACGCGTCGTATCTGCCAAGAAGTCATCCCACCCGACAAAGATCTAACCACCATCCCTTAATACTAGCCTACATCAACCAACCCCCCAGCCACCGGAGTACCCGGATGGTCCTTGGTAGGATGCTGCTGGGGACATTGAGACTAAGGCAAGACAGAATTTGCCACCCAGGGGCCTCCCAGACCCGGACCCAGCCTTGCCTGCTGGAAAACTGGGCAATCTGTGTCCCACTGTACTCAAGTACCATGGCCCCGACTAAGTAAGACTCCTTGGGCCCCCCAACTCCAACTCCATCTCTATGCAAGGCCATCGTACTCACGAGGGACACAGGATCCAAACTTGTCGGGGAACTCGGAGAGAAGGTCATCATTGGCACGGTCTTTGGTGGGCCCAAGGATAATGGCATAGTGCACTGAGAAGAAAGAGCCGGGCTTAGGCAGCAAGCAGAGTGGGCGGGCAGGACAGCTGAGGCTGGGGCTAGGGCTCACCTTCCATCTGCGTCACTGTCTCATAGCTCAGAACCGAGTCTTCTCGACCTAGTAGGAGACAGGGCATCTGCAACGGGCTCCAAGACAGGGGACCTGGAGACCACCTGGCCTGCTTTCCCGAGAATGTCAAGGGAAACTCCACGTTCCACTCATCCCACAGCTTTTCCAGTTTCCCTACCTACCCTGTGATCCAGAGCTGGAGCCCCAGTCCTAGAAGAAAAACCAATCTTATGGTAGGTTCAGAATTTAGCTCAGAAACCACCCCCACCACTTCACCACCAAGCTCATCATCCACCCTCCACCTACCTTGGCCTTTAACCTTGACCACTCTCGTCGCTCAACCCTGTGGGATTACATGGAGGAAGAGCAGGAAATAGTAGGGAAATGCTCAATGACATCCCACCCTCTGGACCAGGTGGGAATAATATCTTCCTAGCTGCCCCTGGGCCCTATGTACCTCAGTGAGAAGTTCTTTCCCAGGGGCTGATGGGAGCCATGGTCCCCAGCAGGGTCTAGCACACACCCAGCCTGGGGGACCTAATAAACTTCAATGCCTCTATCAGGAAGGCTGCAGGGCCCCAGGAGCCTCACCGTCGTTTGCTGGGAATGAAGCCAATGTCATCGGTCTCACTGTCAGAGTGGACCCGCCGTGCTTGCCACCACTCTTCATCACTAGCGTCAATTACGTGAAGCACATCCCCAAAGCGGAAGCTCAGGGCCTGGCTCAAGAAACCGCAGTCCTTGGTCTTGTCGTAATCAAACAGGGCCCTATAGCACAAGGGACTATGGGTCAGGGACTGGCTGAGAACTCCAGGAAGGGTGCACCAGCCACCTTGAGAACCAGCCAGATTCTGGGCAAGGAAACTTGCCATACAAAGCATGGACTGCTGGCAGCACACACAAAGAAACCCCGAACCGTCTAAGGACTAAAAGCTCTGCCGAGTTTCTGAAAGAGCAAAGATGCAGAGAAAAACAATGTGACTGAGGAGAAGAAACAAGCCCCCAGGGTCATATAGTACCAGCTGGCAGTAAGAATTCTAACCCTTAGGGACCTACTAGGCTCCAACAGCGGGGGAGAGCATGGACGTGGGCCTCCGAGAAGGAACACAAGCATCCAGGAGAAACACAGCAAGCTCAGGCTAGGTTGTGTTGACTGTGACATGCCCATGGGACAGCCCAATGGAGATGGCCCAAAAACAACAGCCGGAATTGGTCTAGGCCTCTAAGCCGGTATCAAGCCAGGCCAGACAGCTTTAAGAGACACCTGTGTATAGCACAGGCAGCTAAGGCCAGCCAACTGGAAAAAGAAAGAGGCTGAAGGACCAAGGCAGGAAGAGGTAAGGAGGGGAAGGAAGTCCCAATGCCTTGTGAGGGGCCAGGCAGAGGATCCCTGAGATGGGGACAAATGCTGCTGGGCAGGCAGCGGGGGAAGCTGAGGTGTGTTTTCAGCAGTGGTTTCAGTGCGAGCCTAACATGCATGAGGCTCTGTCTGGATCCAGTCCCCAGCACAGGGGGAAAAATGGAAGGAAGGAAGGAAAAGAAAGACAGACAGACATACAGGAGGCACACACAAAGAGCTGCAGTCCTTTCCACTGAGGCTTCCCACAGGGTTGCCAAACTGAAAGACTCAAAATATCCCAAAGCTGGGCATGGTGACAAGTGCCTGGAGTCTAAGGCAGGAAGATTATTAAAGCACGGGAGTTCAAACTCACCCTAGGCAAGAACGGGGGAGAGGAGGAGGAAGGAGGGGGGAGAGAAGCAGAACGGGGAGGGAAGGGGAGGGAAGAGGGAGGGGAGGGAAGGAAGGAGGGAGAGGGAAGGTGAGAGAGATGCCTACTGTGTCAGACACTGAACTTAGGTCCTACTGTGAGAGCGCTTGGGGAAGCGCTTGGGTGACCAGGGCTAGAAAGCAATTAAGACACTTGGGGCAGGGGCTGTTTTTCAAGCTAGATAATATATTCTAGATTAGCCTATGCAGCCAAGTCTATGAACTCCTGAGCATCAGGTCTGGATGGGAGAGTAAAAGGCAGGCAGGATTTAGGGAAGGAGCTGGGTGGGGACTGGACGCGTTCAGGGGGAAAAGAACACACGGAGGCCTCAAGCATCATGCCCAGGGAGCTTCTCACCTGATATAGAAGCCCCTCTTGGGGTTGCTCCGTAGGGATGCAGTCCCTGAGCCCAGGCTACTATTCATAAGCTGTTCCCGAAGATCATGGATCTTGGCCTCGAATCGGCTATACTCTGAGGGAGGACAAGAAGGTTCTGGAATTCTGCCCCACCCTAATGCCACACACACACACCCCTACCCTCACTCCATCCCTGCTGAGGCCATCCATCAGCTAAAGTGACAGTTCTGAGGCCCATTTTAGCCAGTTAGGCAGGGAAGCTTAGACCTGGTACCTTCTGGTTTATACTGAGCAATGATCGTGACCGTCTGACCCGCGTTCTTCAGGGCAATGGCGGCCTGTTCATGGCTGGCATTGCGGAGGTCAACACCATTGACCTAGAAAGGGGAGAAGAGGCTGTCACCTAAGTCTCAGGGGGTCAGGGAATGGACTAGCAGGACCAGGCTGGATCCCAGCCAGCCCCTCCCCAAGAGCAGAGAGCTCTGTTTAGGGGGAAGTGCTGACCCTTGCACAGGCCTCTCTCACCGATAGGATCTGATCCCCCTTCCGCAGCTCCCCACTGAGGTCAGCAGGGCCCCCAGCAAGGATGAAGGAGATGAAGATGCCTTCACCGTCCTCGCCACCCACGATGTTGAAGCCCAAGCCTGTGGAGCCCCGGTGGATCACAATTCGCCTTGGTTCCCGGGAAATGTCTTCCTCCCCAAGCAGGTCCTTGGCCACCGGGCGCCGAGGGGAGGTGGGGGTCATGGCTGTGGGGTAGTCGGTGCCCAAGTAGCTGCTATGACTGATCTCATTATCCAGGTGCTGAGAATATGCTGAGGGAAGACAGAAATGGGTGAGGTAGAAATGCTAGGACAATAGTACCCACCCACCCAGTCTCTCCAGGGAAGCCTAGAGCCAGGCTCCACCAAGGAGCAGTTATTCTGCCAGAAAGGCATGTTGGTGACCAACAGCATCAGGGGTCAGGAATTTACAGATGACATCAAAGGTAATAATCTGAAGGTCATATGTCTTTAGTATGCCAGCAATGGTGAGACCAAAGGGAAATATTAGTACTATGCTTTTCAGACTGCCTTTTGGTTAAAGTGTCTCTCAGGTCTCTTAATCCATAAAATTTCTCTCCCTCGTGGCTATTCATTTACTTTTTTTTTAACTGTCTATTTTCCCACATTCTATGAGGGATAGTCCTGCTTATATCCCTGTGGTCTCAGTCCTGTCTCGGCTCCCTTTCTGTTTTCCTAGGCTTGTCCTAGAGGCTTGAGCAGACTCAAATTCATTGTGAAAATATTCCCCCAGGGGGTATTCCCACTACATGATCCTGTGCTTCCCACTACATGACCACAGGAAGCAATGTTGTGGGGCCACGCCCAGCACATTTGAACCCCAGCCCTGGGGAGAAGCGGTGGAAGTTCAGTGAGTTCCAGGCCAGTCGGACCTATGTGGGGTCATCGGCCCCATCGGCTCAGTACAATGTACTCTGTCAGCCTGCCCTAAGTTCTGGCAGGTGTCTAATCCTGCTATTTGCAGGAATTGCAAAATGTTAACATTCTACAATCATAAGTAAGATTCTTATAAAGGACTGCCCTACCTGATGATGGGTGTCGTGTTTGAGCCCACTATCCCACTCAGGAGGACTGCTGCAAACTGAAGGCCAGCATGGGTAACATGATGACTTTGAAGTCAGCTTGGGCTAAATAATGAGACCCTATCTCAAAATGGTAACAAACAGAAAACATGCACACACACACACACACACACACACACACACACACACACACGAACTGCTGCATGGCAACCCTGGTGCTTACTCTGGGGTAAGGTTTATATAGAAGAGGGGACGGATGACTAATTCTGTCCCTTACACATTTTCAGGAAGAATGATATACCTCTAGGTAACCTAGCATCCTCCCAAGGTAAAAGAAAATGATCTTGTAGTGAAGATGGAACCCCAGACCTTTCTCATCTTATACAATTGCTGCATGAGTCTCCCAGTCCCAAACCCATTTGATCATAATCTGATTTGGCTTTTATTCCAAGTCAGGATCTCGCTGTGCTGCTCATGCCTGGCTGGGCTCAGTCAATCTTGCTACTTCAGTCTCTTAGTAGTTGGGACATCCATCACCTTGCCTGACTCCCAACTTTTCTTAGGTATTATTATATCCTTATGTGTTTCAGATACTAAATGAATTCTGAAAGGCCAGGAAAATCTTCTTCAATGTGGCTTCTATGTCTGCTGTGACTCTAATAGTCTTGGGTTCCTTCTTTGGAGTCCTCTA